GAAAACAAGCCCCGAGAGAGGCCACACACACACACACACACACACACACACACACACACACACACACAGAGACACATAGAGAGAGGTATGTACATGGGAAGTGGACCGATGGGCTCCCGTGGGAAGGACACCGATGGGTCCCAAGTGGCCGCAGCAGGAGTGCCAGGATAGGTTCCCACTGGTTGCCGCCCATTCCCTGAAATCCCACCGCCCAGCCAGCAGGGCCATGGCCTTCCTGACTGGGGAATCTGGGCACCGGAGTTCCGCAAAGCAACACATGGTGTGCATGCGAGCAGGCAGGTGGAGCCCCCTGAATTAAAGGGAAGTGACCCTTCCATAGGAACAAAGAGATCACCTTCAGGTGACCTTCCCAGGACACGTTGGTAGGATGATGACAACGTCCCAGCAGTGTGGCCCCTGGGATTCTGGGAGCCTCCCTCTGAAGAGGTCTGTCTCCCATTCCTCGGGACCTCTGGCCCCAAGCCAGACCGCAGTCTCCTCCACCCCCAGGTCTTCGGACTCCTAGGGGTGCCCAGCCCACAAACTGGGCACTCTGGGGGTGGGGGCAGCGATGGCCAGAGAGAGCCCTCCCTCCTCGGTCCCTCCTGTCTCTCTCCCTCCCTCCCTCTGCTGAAGATAAACATGGGAGGGCGCTGGCCCTTCGGGGGGCACAGGGGGCACCCAAAGTGGGGGTTCAAAAGCCCATCGTCCTGGGGAGCGGGCAGTGCCCTGGATCTCACCGAAAGGTCATCACAGGAGCGGGGGCACGGGGGCCCACAGCTGCTGAAGACGGAGCCGCCCACTGCAGAGCAGTCCAGACCTGCGCAAGAAGGCAAAGCCGGTGAGGCGCAAGGAGAGAGGAAGGCTGAGGAGACCTGGGTGGGAAGCCCAGAAACTCACTGGCCAGATCGTGCCCTCTCTCACAGCCCAGCAGATCTCACGGCAGGGTTGTGGTGAGGATTCAAGCGCACAGGGAACAACCCTGCGTGCCCCTCTGGGGCACTCCGAGGAGGAGAGGAAAGCCAGGGCTGCAGCAGGTGGACGGTGGCCTCGAGGCACCAAGGCTAGCAGGGCGGATTAGCAGAGGTGAAGACCTCCGAACTTTCCACCCTCACCCCAGACTGCCCGGTTAACTCTGAGCTTCATGGCAAACCTCACAGGAGCTAGGAGAGAAACAGCTTTGCCAGGAGCAAGACACGCTGGCTACGCTCTCCCTCTTGCGAAGCAAAGTCTTTGAGAACAATTGGGCAAATAAGAGCCATGACGTTTGCAAAAGACGGCCCCCTGCCCCTCCTTTATTAAGACAGACCGGTCCAGCGGCCTGCCTTTCGGCACTGTCCTTGTGGGGAAAAGGCTGGTTACAGAGCCTGTTCGGAGGAGTGCCTGCACCCGAAAATTTGCCATTGCCCTCCTGCAGGCAAATACCAAATATCAATCTTTCTGGAGCCATGGCACGGGGGCAGCTCTTCCTTCCTTCCTGACCTGATGCTCACCCTTTTAAGCAGACCCTAAATCCCACCACCACCGTGCCCGCCCACCCCCCACAATGGGTGGGGAGAGTCCTTGTCTGGTGCCATTAACAGGTCTCTCCTGGGGAGGACCTGCTTTTTCCCTTTGGGTAGCTCACCTGGGCACGGGTTCAAGCCACAGGCCTCCACCTGTGTAGGAGGCCCCTCACAATAATCCCCAGAGCCCTGGGGGGCAGGACTGTCACAGGCTCTGATCCGGCTCCGCATGCCTCCCCCACAGCTGACGGTGCAGGCGGTCCATGGGCTCCAGGACCCCCAGGCCCCATCTCCTGCAACAGAGAGAGAGAGAGAGAGAGAGAGAGAGAAAGAGAGAGAGGAAACCCTTCCATCGGCCTGGCCAGCAGAAGAAGGGCTTTCTTGGGCATGAGCCCCCTGCTTCACCCCTTCTGAAACTATGCCGGCGGTGCTCCAAGGGGTCAGGGGCTGGGAGGGCCAAACCCCCACCCCCCAGTCCATAGGATGGCCTGACATGACACACTACTCAGCCATAGGGACCAGACAGAGAAAGTCTGTGGCAAAAGCTCTTTTCTCCCAAGTCATGGCTCACCCATGCTTCGAACGGGGGGCGGGGGGGGGCTGAAGCACTAAGCTAGCTGGAATCCTTCTCCCCCCAGCCCACCCACCTGACGGGAGAGGGTCTTACTGGCACAAGGCTGGATGTGGCAGGGCTTCTCCTCCCGTTCGGGTCCCAAGCACGGCGTCCCCATCCCAGAGGGAGGAGGGTCCGTGCAAAAGCGGTAGCGGTTCTGCAGTCCCAGCCCGCAGGAAGCGGAGCACTCACTCCACGGAGCCCAGGCCGACCAGAGGCCGTCCACTGGCAAACAAAAGGGAGGAAAGTCAGAGGCCGGATCAGGAACACCTTCTCAAGGGGAGAGGCAGCCTGTCAGTCAGTCGGATGGATGGATGGATGGACTGAGAGATAAGATGGATGGATGGGTGGGTGGATGGAGGGATGGGTGGATGGAGGGATGGATGGATGGGTGGAGAGATGGGGGGAGGGG